ATATTTATAGGAATCAAAGTGTTTTATAATGTTGCAGTTCATGATAGATTAAGGAAGCTGTAAATTGTGATTGAGAATATGTATTTACAAGCCAAGGCATCAAAATGTATAATAATGTTGTAGTTGATAATGGATCAAGAAAGACAGGTAGTCACTGAAGGAATTTGTCATACTTGGTTAAGGTTATATCCAAGCAGATTATAGCCGTCAAAGCCAAATAATAAGAGCCAACATGTATCACTTATTTCATAGTGTCTCTCTGCATAAGATGCTTACTCATAGATCTCTTCAAGCATCAACATCAAAATTCACAATCAAACAATGACTGAAGAGATGAATAACTTTCAGGCATTCAAGATGCATCAAATAGAAAAGTCCCAGGTTGTAAATTAATTGCTGAAGGTACGATCCCTGAGATAATCTAAATCCTGATTTTATCCAGCATAATAGTTTACAGTTGATTCCTTTCTACTAGAAGTCCAGAGTTCAGACTATTTCATCAATATAGAAGTTCATTCTTCGTCTATCGTTATCAATGAAATTCCTTTTCCGTATTGCTGGTAGGTTCAAACACTTAATACTATTGAGATTTTGATTGTGGTATAACATTAAATCTTACTGGCAGGATGGACTATTAGCATATTCTAGGTATACTTCATGTTGCAATGAGAAAGAAGAAGTTAAGCAACGACTTAGTTCGATGGAGGAAACATTACATCAAAGTTTAAGATCTGAATAGTTTAAAAGTTGTGAAAATTGCATAGAAATTGAATGTCGTTTCAAAAATAGAAAAGGTGTCACATAAATGGAGTAAATCATTTTTTTTAAGGTGATGGCAGATGGTACACCCACGGTGATGGTATTTTGAATGCTCAAGGAAAAGCAATATTTTGAATTAAACAATTGCAGGCGTAAAAACTTTTGAACAGTCATTAACCAACCTGCTCAGATGGAAGATCCAGCTTGCTTTTAAAAATCTTAGACAAAATTCTCGTGGCTTCTCTCTGCATCGGAAAATTGTTGTTCGCCTCCTTTGACTTGTTCAACAAAGGAGTCAAAGCGCCATGGTCAAGAAGACAATCACAATCACCGGCAGCAATCTGCCCCACTACCAGCAAAGCCTATAGATGGAAAGAAAATACATTCAGCCGACTAATCTTTATACAACATGTGGGGACGGGAGACCCGGAGGGGGGNAAAGTCCAGAAGCTTTACAACAACTTCCACCACCAGCTCATATTCATCCATATCAAATATTTGGGCGAGGTCGAGAGAGAAAATGAGTACGAGAATCCAAGCAGAATCATCCTATGAATGTAAAACCATAAGGATAAAGCAAGTGTGAAGCTAGAACCGCAAGACGCTAAAGAAGGTGCAGAAAGGTAATCAACAACACATCATTGTCTACCTTGAGCTGCTGTGGGACATATGGCATCTTTATAAACTGAGCAAATCGAAGAATAACACTAAACTTCATAGCTTTGCAAAGATCAAGTGTCTTATCTGTGGAAAAAAATTGGCAAAGTAAGTGATAGGCAAGTTGAATAAAAAAATTAGCCCGGAGCAGGCTTAGTCATACTGATAGAGAGCAGTGTTCAGAATTGTTTGGTTGCTATGCTCTGCGGAAGTGTATGATGGGACAAAATACCAGCGACCACTACTTCAAGACTTTCCTGTAAACCAACCATTCAGAAAACCACATATCAGCCTATAGTTGGAAAGAAAATACAACATGTCGTAGGGGTCTAAAACACACCTGATTGGTATACAGTTTTTGAAATATTGGCTCCACAAAAGGGGCAATAATCCAAGGACCCAGTTCATCATGATAAATCTCGGTGATAGCCCAAGCAGCTTCAACCTATGAATGCAAAACCATAAGGATAAAGCAAGTGTTCGTTAAAAAGCTAATAATTAATTCTCTACCTGGAGCTGCCAAGAATCTTTGTTGCTCAGAAACTTAATAAATCGAGAAACAAAAGACTTAACTTCTCGAACAAGAAAACTCCTTCTGATATCAACCAAGTACGAGAGTTGTGAGCCTGGACCATGTTTAGTCATACTCATATCAATCAATTTCCGGACTTGTGAGGTCCCCGCTAGCTGCCGATTGATATCATCCGACAAAATATCCTTCACCCATGATGTCTTCTGTAAACCAACAATTCATTATTAAATCAACTAATGAATTTATATTTCAGAAATAAATCAGAATCAGCTAGCACATGTAAGCGAACAGAAGACTCTCCATTATCAATTCTTACTAATCAAAAATTGATGTGCACAATATATTGATAAAAATAAGACTTAACCAGAAAAATAAAAAGGAAATAAAAGCTCACCGAATGCTTAAGAGTTTCTGCCTTCGTCTTTCGGATCTTAAGAGCCACAGTAGCACTTCTTTGTTGATTTCTTAGTTTATCAACAGGCATCTTCGTGAAAACCCTAGTGAGGGCAATGGAGAATTAGGCAGAGAATTTTTGGAGTTTTCTTAGGTTTATCAACTGGGTCTTCGTTGGATTTCTTAGTCACATTATGTTCGGCGTCAAATTAGATATTATTCGAGTTGTCAATGGAGAATTAGGCAGAGAATTTTTGGAGTTTTCTTACCTTTGTAGACAGAGTTACCCAGTATGAAAAAGTTGAAGCAGAATGTTTTTCACACAATTGAAGTGCAAGAACAACTGTAGTGAAAAAAATTCCGTGAAATGGATGATTAATTGTATTACTTTTATACAAATATTCTTTATAATCAAGTAAAAGTATCAGATTAAGTGTTTTTGGTTTAATGGTTTCATGAAAGGTAGGAATGTTGTTGGTTACTTGAATTTGCCTCCAATAAAAAAGCTTGTTCAACCAAAAACCATAAAGAGTGAAGGAAAGGAATGCATGATTTTTTTTAACTGAATTTGCCTGATTTGACCAAGGAATGTACCTTTGAGAGGCTTCCCCACCAACTGGTCTTTGCAGTAAGGCTGTAGTTTGCAGTTCTTTGAGAGAAACAATGCCTTCCCTCTTGGTGATTTATTTGGGAAGATTTCAGAAACTAAGCAGCTCTTATGTAACTGTTAAAAAAGAAATACAAGTGACAACAAAGTTAGAGTTCTTCTGCAATGAGGAAGTATCTTTATAGCTCGATATATCCAAGACGTTTTCAGCTCTTTTGTATAAATGCGTTGGACTAATGTTGCAGGTATCCAGCACATGGGAGGCAAATAACACAGGAAAACATAGAATATAGTAGGCTAAGATCACCAAAGTTGATACTCCGCATGTTCATGTATCAAATCGCTTAAATAATCTAAAACCTGATGATCACAATGAGATTCAGTGGAAAATTTAGCACTTTCTTGAGTCGATGACTTTTTTCATCTGATCAACATAGAAATATACTATAAAAAGTTTTGCTCAATCAAAGTCTAAATTACAATTCAAAGAAATGGTACAAAATCCTGCAGTTAGGGACATAGCATTCAGCGATAAATCAATAAATATGGGTGAAAATATGAGACACAGATCAAAGCTATAGGACTATTACCATGACGCGATCAACCTTGCTTTCTTTTTCTGATCAACTCTCTTTTTCCCCTCCCCACATGTTTCTGTCCTAGAAAACATTGATTAAATGTATTCCCTAAATTATAACTCATCCCAAGACTTGTTTGACCATGTCTATATACCTTGGCCACAAAATGATTGTATTTTCATGTACTCCTTTCAAGGATGCATCCCAGGCATATGTTCCTTCGGCAACATCGCTTCTCATCCACTAATTTTTAGTCTTTTAGCAGGTAGCTAAGCCTTTTTTCTTTTTAGTTCTATGTTGTCATTGTTATACTTAGTAGTATGTTAAGTCAGTGGTCTAAAGAAACATTAGGTGACTTAATTACTTAAATGCTGATGCAAAGATACTGGAGAGTAAAATATAGGAACTTGAGGAGACATATTTAAGGTATAATGTATATGATTAAGAATATAGAAACCAGTTAAGCAAAACTACTGCAGAATATATTCAGCTGTAAAGGCAAAAGCTTCTGTTTTAAATCAGAAGGCAATAGGAATTGGTTAACAACTCTAACACAGCTTTATTTCAGAATGACATAAAGAATAGGAGCAGGGAACTGAACATTCACAAGATTAAGAGTGAGCAAGATGGTTGATTAGAAGTGAAGAAAATTGAAGAACCAACTGTGACTTTCTACCAACTGCTATTTTTAAAAAAAAAGGAAGCAGGAGATTTGACTACCTTAGAGGTTGTCACTAATGTTATAACTCTGAGAATTGAAATGGTAATCAAGATGAAAGTTCGGCTGTTTGTATGCATTAACCAGTGCTCGAAAAGAGCTTGTTCACATATCGATCACTTATTAATATCTGCCTGATGCCACACGCCCTTCCCACATCTTCTTAAACCTCTCTCACTCTGTTATCTGTATTCCTTTGTGGTAAGAAACAAGAAAAAGTAACAACATGGATATGACATTTTCATCCATGGATATTGTTGGTATGAACAGTACATGGAAAGGTTAAAAACAAATTGAATGGAAAAATACTTCAACAGAGTTAATACAACACGTAAGTTAGATAGTAAAAATTTATTTTTGTCCCGAAGGTTTTTCCTTTCAGCTTCTTGTTCAAAAGTTGAAATATATACTACTAATAGGCAAAAGTAATAAGTCTTCCACCCAGCATATTATTGAAATAACTTTAAAAATAAGCTAAGCAATATGCTACAACCAGTTAAACTACGTGGATGTTTACACTATCAGTATATCTAATGTGAATCCAAAAAGTATCTCTTTACAAGGCCTCAATTTGATTAATTTTAAAGATATATTGGGTTGTTGTTGTTGTTTAAAGTGATACATTTTACATTTGATTTTCTTTTCAAATGAAAAAGGATTACTTTAAATTTAGTGAGTAATTATTTCATTTAACTTCAAGTGAGCCAGCAAGCAAACGGCGGAACCAAAAAGTTGCCAATAAATTGACAGAGAAAAGTGGATCAACACACCTGGTAGAAGAAACAGAGTGAAGATATGGTGTAGATTGAAAAATGAAGCCAACAGAGAATAGGGAGAACACGGCGAAGAGACAAGGAAACCAGAGGATTAGATATGCTGTCACTACTAATTATTCATCAATAAGATGTTAGTAACCACAAGCTCACCAACAAATACATAATCATAAAAGCAAAGTAAATCATGTGCGAGTAGCTGTAATAGCCTTATTTGGTATATAAAATATCAGTTGTAAAGCTTCATTCTCATCGTTCTTAAGGAAAGTGCATATGCTGCTTTATCTCCAAGGCTCTAACAAAGCTAGTGATTAATGATAAATAGGTAATGACTACTGTAACTACATATTGGCCTCTCTTTCAGAATTTGGGAGTACTATTTTAAGCTAGAACCACAAAGACAAGTTTCCATAAGCTTGGAGGCTTGTAGAAAGATGTCGTGTATATGAAAAATTGTATGGCCTTATCGACCTATGTTCAGTGTACGAGTGTTCATTTTGGTCTTATAGGACCATATGTCACATGTATAAGTTTCTACATCATATTGGGTCGTCCTATGTCTAGTATTCTTTTATGTACCAGGTTTCCTACACAAAGACCTTCAATAATCGGTGATGTCGGAAGTAGCAGCAAAATCAGTAAACTTAACATAAAAAGAAATCTGTAGATGAAGTGGAGAAAGAAAGAAGATGAACAGAAGCAGACGGAAGACAGATTAATTGCTGGTATGTATGTACCGAGGAGTTCTTATATTGCACCACCGGTCAAGTTGCTCTAGCTTTCAGTAAAATTTTGGAGAAGGCCAAAGTAGCCCTTGTATAATATTCAGCTGAACGTAAACATTAATTTGTATATCTTAACAAACTGTATAAAAAGGTTGCCTAACCATTATAATTTATTGCTTTTGTAATTAACACAAGAAGCAAAGAGCAACACCAAACCACCAATACTGGCTTGAGCAATAACTAAATGATAATAAAAAGGCTTCGGAGGAGCTCCAATAGGCGGGAAAAATGGAGCTTTTGTGTGTAATAATGATAAAAAAAAAAGGGAAGTAAAAAGCTGCACAAAGTACTCATCTAAGCTAGTGACTCATTTTACATGTCAAAGATAACAGAAACAGTACGAAAAATTTGGTGAACTTTACAATTTTTCAGTCTCTAACATCATATGGTAAAAGAAAAAATCAACATGCTTTTGACATTCATACCTCTGAGTTCTCTAACAAAATTCTAGATAGCACTATAACAAGTNCGATTTAGAGGTTTGTCGAATGCAGTGCATAACCACTAAAGTTGAAAAGATTATGCGAAAAATCAAAAATAGAGGCACACTGTTTTGATGCAAATACCAGAAATCTTCAGAACACAGAGGGTGTGTTTGGTATGAAGGAAAATATTTTCCGTGGAAAATGTTTTCCAAGAAAATGTTTTCTTGGAAAACAAGTAGTAATCTTATTCATTTTCCGATGTTTGGTACGCAAATCAAGGAAAACATTTTCTCAAGAGTATTCATAAATAATTTTGATACAATAAACATAAAGCCATAAACTTTCGAACCAACAACTTTCTGAACCCACAAATTTCATAAACTTCTGAACCGCAAAATTTCGAACCCGTAAACTTTATAATTTCTAACCCCGTAAGCTTCGAAACACATAAACCTCCGAACTCATAACTTTGGAACTTGTAAAATTTTGAACCCGTAAACCGAAAGATGAAAAAAGTAAAACTGAAAATATTTTATAAAAATATTTTTTCTCGGGGGAGGGGGGTGCAGAAAAAAAAACAGAAATTTAAAAATCACAAAAAAAGTATAAAAAAAATTTCTTGTGCGGGATTGGGAGGGGGTGGGGGTGGGGGTAGNAATATTTTTTCTCGGGGGAGGGGGGTGCAGAAAAAAATAGAAATTTTAAAATTAAAAAAAAGTAAAAATAAATTTTTTTTCTTGAGGGTGGGTGTGGGGTGGATTGGTGAGGATAAGGAATAGGGCGGAGAAGGTTGAGAATAGGACTTTTGAAAATGTTTTCCCCCTCTTGACAGGGAAAACAATTTCCTCCAATTGGAAGAAAATGAGTTAACGAGCAAAATATTTTCCAAAACATTTAAACCAACCAAACATGAAAAAATTGGAAAACATTGGTTTCCTTCATACCAAACACACCCAGAGTCGTAAGAACGTAACTAACCCCCTACCCGCCGCAAAGAATAATAAAAATAATTTTTATATACCAATCGTCACAATAAAATTCCGGTAAAAATCCATTTTTCACAATAAATTCCCACGAAAATTCTAAAATTCAATTCAGACACCATTGTAAAATTTCCCCTTTTCTTCAGTTCCAACGAAGCAGAATAAAATCATTCAGCAAGAGGTTCGACAACTATGTAAATTTAAAATAGGGCAAAGTCAGACAGAATGTTTCTCTAAAATGGAAAAGCCCAGCAAATCTAGAGCGGAGATGAAGCTTCGTGGCATAGACAGTCAATTAAATTGATTCGAAGCGTCGAAGCGATTACCTTGACGTAACAAAGTTGGAGCGACGAAGTAGCCCAAACCCCAATTTATCCTGTGAAAAAGTTGGTAGAGCTTCCACAAACAGAAGTTGATTAATTTAAGCTATGAATGCAAAAGCAGTGCAAATTCCATGGAGGAACGGGAGAATAAGTTGAGAATACCGAAGAGAGAGACAATTACAAAAACCGATGCAAACCGAAAACGGAATCAAACTGATTAAGTAAACAGATTGATTTGGAGTGGTTTTGGTTTTAAATTTTAAAAATAAACAGATTGATTTGGAGTGGTTTTGGTTTTAAATTTTAAAAATCATAATATTTGGTTTGATTTTGGTTCTATTATAAAAAATTGAAAAAATCAAACCGATTAATTATATAAAAATATTAATAAATATTGATATATAATATAATATCTTTTCGTAAATAATTTTAAATATTTTATATATTTTAATTATTATTTTGAATTTTAATTTATCCTACTTATATCTTAAAAGATTGTCTAAGCCCAAAAGAATAGGAATGGACCAATTTTCTTTTCCTTAAAAGAATCTAATTCTCTAACCTACACACATGTTTTTTCCTAATAAAAGAGTTAGAAAAAAAAAACCTACAACAAGAGTAAAGAAAGCAAACTCAAATTGCAAGACTATAGTAGCTAAAGTTTGAGAAAGTAAACTTTTAGTTTGTTTTTTGTTCATATTTTTCGTATAAACATGTAAATAAACTTTTAATTCCGAAATAAATATATAAAAAAGCATAAATTTAAGAAATTATTTTCAGATTGTTGTCTAGTGTTGTTTTACTATTATCGACTTATCATTAGCTTACTAGGAACCGAAAAAACGAACCAAACCGAACCAAACCAACAACAACCAAATCGAGGGTTTGTATGTAATTTGGTTTGATTTTGGTTTTAAAATTTTAAAACCCGATTAAATTGGTTTGATTTTAGTTTTAATCAAAAATCGGCCAAACCGAACCGTGAACACCCCTACTGTGTAGTGGTGTTGGCAGGTTGTATAAGTGAAAATGACTATGTAACCCTCCCAAATTTAAGCCGCACGTTATCCATAAGGTCATAATAGAGAATTCAATACACAACTGGACTGAAATGACCAAATAGCCCTTGGGCGGCAAGAAGGGATGTCGACGGTCTCCTGCTTGCTTTAGGTAAAAATAATAAAATATAAGTAGACTAGTAAGGAAGTGCCCGTGCGAGCGAGGCACGAACCCAACCTCAAGAGAATGCCAAGAAATTTTATTTGTTATCACTCATCAACATACGGGTGTCAATGGATATTTGAAAACCGACTAAACCGATCGAACCGTACTGCACCGAACCGAACCGACTTTTAAGTTTCTTTTTAAGAATCCGTAGGTTTTTATATAAATCTATAACCGTACCGATAATTAGGGTAGGTTTTTTATTTTATTAAAATAAACCGAAAAAATCCCGAACCGTACCGAATAAATTTTACATGTGAAAAATATATTTATCTAGTAAGTTAAAAATAATAATGCATTAAATTTTTCTTTGGACCTTGGAATTATGAGAACTATTCCAAGCCAACAAGTAATTAAACTCAAAATACTAATTCTTAAAACCTATTATGCTACTTCTACTTAAACTAAGTTATTTCAAGTATCTTTATTAGCAAGACACAAAGTATTCTAACGATTATGAGTAGCACTACAATATTTTGCATATGTAGCTACAAAATATATTATAGCTAAATATGAAAATTTCCGTAGCTAAACCCTTTAGCCACTATAATTTTTTCCGTAGCAAAATGTAACGTAATTAAAAGTTAGCTATAGACTTTATATGATCTGTGGCTAAGGAATAATACTTATTGCTACGAATGTTTTCTGCATTGTAGCTATATTGATAATACTTTTTTGCTACGAAATATATACTCATAGCAAATAATCTTAATCTTTTGCCACGACAAATAAACTATATGACAATCTTTATATTTTGCCACAAGGTGTTTTACTGTGACAAAAGACTTAATTTGTTTGCTACGAAATTTATGTGATGACCCAAAAAGTCATCAATTGTTTTAGAAATAAATTCAGTGTTTCGAGGCCTAAGAACCTTCTTTTTACCTCACCTCAACTTGCATGTGCAGTCCGTATAATTTTTCAGAATGTTTTTATGGGAAAAAATGGATTAAAATGTGGAATATAGCTTTAAAACTCAAGTGAGTTGACTTCGGTCAACGTTTTGAGCAAACGGACCTGTATACGTGTTTTGATAGTTCAAGTAGGTCCGTATCGTGATTTAGGACTTGGGCGTATGCCCGAAATCAAACTTGGAGGTCCTTGTCTCAAGTTATAGCCATTTAACAAAAAAAACAGAAATTTAAAGGTTAAATGTTTCTAAAGTTTGACTACGTATTTGACTTTATTGATACCGGGCTCGGATTGATATTCCGAAAGTTGGAATAGCTCCATTATGTCATTTATGACTTGTGTGCCAAATTTGAAGTCATTCCGGATTCATTTGATATGTTTCGGCACAAGTTTTGTGAATTGAAAAGTTTGAAACTCATAAGTCCGAATCGAGGTGTGAATTGACGTTTCAACATTGCTTGGAATGATTTGAAACCCTAGGTAAGTCCATATAATGTTTTAAGACTTGTTGATATATTTGGTTGAAGTCCCGAGGGTCTCGAGTGGATTTTGGATGGTTGATGGAGTTTAACTTGGGCATTTCAAGAATGTTTCGATGTCGTTTCTTCAAGAATAAGTGGCATCATATTACGCAAATGAGCTCCAAATTCAGTTTTGATTGAAGCATTAGATCCGCATCAAAATTTCGGAGCCATAGCAAAAAGAATCGTCCAATTCGGACATCGTATGAGAGAGTTATGTTCATTTTTGTGTCGGGAAAAAATAATTTCCCATCGCCCAGGGTAGCGCGGGGCGCTATCCATGGCGCCGGGATTATTTTTGGCTACTGGAACCAGCGCCACATGCCACCTGTGGCACCCGAATTGTAAAATGCTATAAAACGGGGGTTTTGGCCATTTTTTTGACAAAAATAGAGTTGGGGGAGCTTGGTTTGGGCGATTTTCAGAGGGGTTTTCACAAATTTGAATGAGGTAATTGTTCTTTATCATAAATCCTTTATAGATCATGATTCCATACTCATTTACATCATGAATCCATAAATTTATGGAAGAAAATCAGATTTTTACCAAATCTTCCAAAAAACGAAAATTTAAGATTTGAAAGCCAATCCGATGTCAAAATTCGATAATTTTTGTATGGTTGAACTCGTATAGGAATGGGTTATCACATTTTGTGAGTTTCGTATGATTCCGAGAAGTGGTCCCCACGGGCAATTTTTTAGTTCAATTTCGGATTTTAATCCGGAAAATTAGTAAATTCATATGGAATTAATTTCTACTATTTGTATTGAGTATATTAAATTATTTGTGACTAGATTTGAAGCCTTCGGACACGAATTTTCAAGGCGAAGGTTTATTGGAATCTTGAATTTGGTTGCAAAGCAAGGTAAGTGTTTGGTCTAACCTTAGCTTGAGGGATTAGGAGTTGTGTCCTATTTGTTATGTGTTATTTGTTGAGTACGACGTATATGCATGGTGACGAGTATCTATATGTTGGTGTCCAACGTGCCCGTGAGTCTTATGTTATGATTAATGTGACTCTGTTGTATTGTTCATATTTAATGTGGTGGTTGCTATTGTTGAGCAAAGGTTGTGGAAAGAAAATTGGCAATTGAACCTTATAGAGAATTGGCTCAAATTGTGAAGCAAGTGTGAACTAAATGTGAAAGATGAGAAGAGGATTATGGTATTGATCCCTTGCCGGGACGTTGTGGCTTTTAATGTTGTTCCCTTGCCGGGATGTTGTTGTTTCGATATTGTTCCCTTGCCGGAATTTTATTATAATTCATTTATTCCTTGCCCTTATTGTTTGTATTTATTGTTTTTGTGAGGAAGAGTGTAAAGCACGAAGGGTGATGTCGTGCCGCACGATGTACCATTCAGTGCCGATTATATTGGTTTTGTGGTGAGGATGAGAGTAAAAGCACGAAAGGAGATGCCGTGCAGTTTATATTGATTTTTATGGTGAGGATGAGAGTAAAAGCACGAAGGGTGATGCCGTGTACTTGTTTGATTTCTGATTCTTGTTGATAATTAAATTATGGTGTTCCATATATTTAACTGGTGTCCTCCTGTTGCCATTTGGTATTTCCCCGTAGCATGTTTCCCCCTCCCATCCTTGACTGTATATTTTTGCTTCTATTTTCCGTCGTACATTATTTACCTGCACAGGTTTATTTGGTAGTCTGGTCCTAGCCTCGTCACTACTTCGCCGAGGTTAGGCTAGGCACTTACCAGCACATGGGGTCGGTTGTACTGATACTACACTCTGCACTCTTTTGTGCAGATCTCAGTGCTGTAGATTTCGGACCGCAGTGAGATTTCTGCTCCTTGTTCATCAAGTGACCCGAGGTAGTCCTGCAGGCCTCTATCTATTTCCTGTTTCTTTTATGTAATCCCCGAGACAGTATTTTGTTATTTCTTTCAGACCTTTATTTGTAGTACTCTTAGACAGTCTGTGAAGTTGTGACACCAATCTTGGGTAGATTTGTTATGGAATGGTATTAACATGATTATTATAACTTGAAATTGAATCTTCCGCTTGTTAAATTTTGTTGATTACTAACTAGCCTATAACCGTTAACGAATTCAAAAATGGAAACAAGGCAAATAATTTAGTTGATTGGCTTGCCTAGCTTTTACTAGTAGGCGCCATCACGACTCCCGATGGTGGAAAATCCGGGTCGTGACAAGTTGGTATCAGAGTTCTAGGTTATATAAGTCTCACAATTCACAAACAAGCTTAGTAGAGTCTGAGGGATCGGTACAGAGACATCGGTATTTATCCCCAGAGGCTACAAAGTTGGGAAAAACTTCACATCTATTCTTTCCCGTCGTGCTGTTTGGTTTCTCAATGCTAATTGAATTTCTACTCTATTCTCTCGCAGATGCCGAGAACACGCGCTTCCTCATCCACTGATCAGCAGCCCCAGCCCCCAACAGCAGCTTCCACGAGCGTCAGAGGGCGAGGCCTATCCCGTGCTAGAGGCCGAGGTAGGGGCAGAGCTCAGCCCGGAGCAGCGACACCAATGGCGAAGCCTCAGATTGAGTTTGACGAGGAGGTTCTAGCCCAGACAGCTCCGGTGGG